TTAATTTGAAGGAAAAGGGACCGTAGATAGGATTTCGTCACTTATCCCCAACTTAAGCCCGAAATCGATTTCCTTCAATTGGGCACGCTCCCTCTTCGTGGTCTTCAACGGAAACACTCCGTGGAGGTGCAGAAACTTATTGGGATCGTTCTTGCTCGACTAATCATCGTGTATCCCTGGATTGCATTTTCAAGCTTTCCTTTAAGTTCTTCAATGGGGGATTGAATTGGGGAAATGGTTTCTGGGCACTTTCAGCAGTCATTCCTTCATAGAACTTGTGGGTAATCTTGTTTAGAAACTATAGGAATACGTTTGGGGAGAAATGGTGGAGAATTGCTCTCGAATTTGGAATAAATCGGAGAGTAGGAGACCCACAATCTAAATGCTCATAACTCTTGAATGGGCTCTCAACCTTGCTCGATTCTTGTTCCATATTGTTGCCCCAACTACAGACTTTATAGGAGAAGCTTAAACCGACATTGAGATCTCCAGAATCGTCGTGAATCGACGGTTTGGATTTTATGGAATATCCGCCGAAAATATCTACTCCGATCAGAGCCTCACCGACTTTGGTTTTGAATACCAGCCGTTGGATGTGATGATCTGTCCGTCTTCTAGATCATATCCAATTTTGGAGGAGATCCAACGGCTGAGATTCAAAGTTCGAAAGATTTTGCTTAGATGGTCACTGTAGATGCTCTGATTATGATTAGAGGGGCATTTTCGTAATTATCCACCCTTCCAGGGGTATTTTGGTAATTTGCCACTTTTTGAATATTTTATTATTATTTTTTCTTCAAAAACTCTGTAATTTTTCTAAATATTTTTTCATCCCTCGTTGGTCATTTTTCTTTTCTTCAGCACATATTGCACTGTAATAGCCAAAAATAAATAAAGAAATAAACAAATAAAAATAATTATAAGAAGAGTTAAAATAATAATAATAAAAATAATAAAGAAATAAATTAAGAGAAAAAAAAAACAACCTTTCCCCACTCCTCTCCACTGGCCTCTCATCCCTTCCCACAATTATCTCTCCTCAACCCATAGCCAGAAAGTAACAGTTACTACAAAAAAGAAACAGAAAATCGATAATCTTCAGATTTATTTTGACCAAAAAAAATGAGAATGACCTTTAAGTGAAGATAGATCTGATTATATATTAAATCTTTATTTTCTTTTATCCTATTTTTTTTTTAGAAATTACAACCAATTTTTTTAGATAGTTAGATCTTCATTTAATTATTACAATCATCTAGCTTTAAGTTAGAAACTAAACGGCAATCATTTATACGATTCTAGTCAATCAGGTCATATGAGTAATATTAGATTAAATTTTGATCAGTAGCCAAATGAATAGATTAAAGATAGAATACAGAAAAACTTCTAAATAGAAAACACTAAGATAAGGAAAGATTTGGAAATAGAGATCACTAGAAATTTTGAATGCATGAGAACAGAATTAAAAGGAAGTAGATAAAAAAAAAAATTACGAAATTAAAAACCACAAAATATAGAGGGAAAGGTAAACACAGAGGGTAAGTACAGAGAGTAGTAAAGCCCATAATAACTTGAAAAAACTGTATCTACTTTCTTATACAACCGTATGAAAAGTAATATTTTTAATAAAAATATAATTATAGATATATAACATTTCAGACTTTTAACAATGGACCAATGTAAATTAGAGAAATAATGGTGTAGAGTTCAAACCTGAAACTAATGCCATTGGCTTATATAGGTTTTCTCGGATTTCAAATGACGGAATCGAACTTTAATTAAAGATATACTCGCGACAACGACTTAAGCTAGCCAGATAAGTGACCTTACTATCGGCATGGTTATATTTTGATGTTGACACGTGCCGTGTGGTTCTGCACGTGTTATATATATTGATATGTGTGAACTGTCTGTGGATCAATATGCTTCCTATATGTTATGTATATGTTATAATATGTGAATTGTACGATAATAGTTACTCTACGATGTGTTCAAGGATATGTTTGAGATAGGATACAAAAAGGATGCACAAAACGAAATGTAACGATAGGAGTAAAATACGTTCACAAAACGTTAAAGTTAGGTTACATACCGGAATGATATGGTTAAGAGAGATTGATGGAAGAATACGGTTAGGTTACGGGTAGAAAGGGATAGGTTTGTGATAGATTGATAGAACGATAGCATTAGTTTAAGTTCTTGTGATGATATGACTAAGGTACGTTCACGTAATGATATGTCTGTGATAGGTATAAGAACGTTAAGGCTATGATAAGTTAGAGAATGATATGACTATGAAGTGTTTACGTTATTTACTTGTGTATGATATGATACATTGTGATGCAATATGTCATGGTATGATGTGTATATGATGAAATGTTATGTTAAAAGCATAGAACGTTATGTTAGGTCTCTTAAATTGTGTGTATATAACATGATATGAATGACATGAAATTACGATAAATGACATGTAATATAACCCCGTTAGAATTATGTATGATTTGAGAACGGAAGAATGAGAAACAATATGATATGAATGATGAACGATATGAAAAATGATATGATATGTACTTAATGCTAGCGGGGTTGTATTAAGTGATAATGAAATTGTAGAAGTAGTGGGGACCTCATGCATTATGTGTGTTCATGCATCTGGGGGGATACCCCTATCCCATCACGAGGTACGGACGCGTACATCCAATGGCAGGACAACGATCGTTATGCTTTGCATAGCGCTGCCGTGACGGTTACTAGTTCTAACGGGTCCCGGCATAAGGGGCTCCCAAAGTATGCCCACCGGATAGGAAAAGTGGCCCAACAGTGTGCGAACTAGCTGGTGAGCCCATCCTCGCACGTATGGGCTGTGTGTAGAGTATATGGTACACGTCCACGATTACCCGCTAGGACAGCACCGTAGGGAAACGAAACGAAACGAAAGATAGGTCCCATCATTTCATTGCATGTGATTGTTGCATTTAGCCCCAATAGTGGGGTCACTTACCGAGTATTTCTTTAAATACTTAAGCCATGTGCTACTACATTTTTCAGGTTAAAGCAAGGCATTCCTATACGGCTGACGACGGCATCGCAACTCGAGACCATGGCACATGCATAGGGTAGCGGTATTTATTTTCTTAGACTTAGGCTAGACTAGGATGTTTTTAACTTAAACTTTTATTCATTTTATTTAGTTTTTTGCTGTGTTGTTTTAAAGATGTTTTCGAAACACGTAAGTCCATGACTCTGTTTTAAGATAAAGGTGATGTTTTATAGAATTTAAATGAAGTCTTCCGCATTCAATGTTTATGGTACGTATACAGTAGCGACCATAAATTAAGTAGAAAATTTTAGGTCGTTAAAATCACAATATATCATGTAATAAACAAGTCAATTTATCACATATCTCATACCATAACGTATTTCATATCATTTGACTATATATATATATATATCCGTCATTCACATATCGTATCATAATCATATCATAGCGTAAACACTTGGTGGTCATATCGTTCCCTTACTTATCATAGCCTTAACGTCTTATATCTATCACAGTCATGTCGTTACATGAATGTACCTTAGTCATATCATCACATGAACGTATCCTAACGCTATTATTCTATCAATCTATCACAAACCTATCCCTTTCTACCCACATCCCTTACTACAAATAACCTAACCATATTCTTTTATCAATCTCTCATATCCATAGCACTTCGGTATGTAACCTAACCTTAACGTTTCATGAACGTATCTTACTCCTATCGTCACATTTCGTCTTATGCATCCTTATCATATCCTATCTCAAACATATCATTGAACACATCGTACCGTAATTCACATATTATAATATATACATAACATATGATAAGCATATCAATCCACAAACAACTCACACATATCAATATATATGACACGTGCCGAACCACGAGGCACGTGTCAACATCAAATATAACTATGCCGATAGTAAGACCACTTACTTGATTAGCTTAGGTTGATGTCGAGAAGTTATCATTAATGAAAGTTTGATTCTATCCTTTGAAATCCAAGCCAACCTATGTGAGCCCATGACATCAGTTTCAAGTTTGAACTCTATAAAATTATTTTTCTAACTAAAATTGGTCCATTGTTAAAAGTTTTGAAAGGTTATATATATATATGATTATGTTTTTATTAAAAATCTTATTTTATATAGTTTTTATTGTATAAAAAAGTTGACCGAGTCTGTGCTTTCTTGTCCTCTATATTTTCTTTTCCTATTTTTTTCTTTATCTGTATTTACTCTATTGCCTTTTACTTTTCTTGTTTTTCTCTTTATCTGTATTTACTCCCTTTTAATTTTGTTCACAAATTTTCTTTGCCATTTTATTTTTAATCTATTCATTTGTCTACTCATATAAATTTATTGATCTAATATTATTAATCTAATGTGATTTACTAGAATTCATATAAATTATTAGCATTTAGTTTCTAGTTTCTAACTCAACTAAACAATTGTAATGATTTAAGGAAGAGTTAACCATGATTGGCTGTGATTTATAAAAAAAAAAAGGACAAAAAAATTAAAATTTAATATATATCTTACTGATCAGATCTGTCTCCACGTAAATCTTGTCTGCTGAATTGGGTAAAGCTCCTCAAATTAAATCCGTCAATTATTGTTTTTATGTTCCTTTTTGCAAACTGTGATTTTTTTGGCTGAAGTGGGTTGAGGAGAGATAATTAGGGAAGGAATGAGAGGTTACTGGAGAGAAAGGAGGAAGATTGTTTCTCTTTCTTTTAATAGCAAAACGAGGAGACATAATCAATTGCAAAAGGGCCCACTACTTCTCAGGAAACAAAGGAAAAGAAAAAGGCAAGTTTGGTATGTTTTACGTATCTTTATAACCATCATTTCCAAGCTTCAATGGAACACAATTGTTTTCCATATCCTTTTTGAGAGCTACTTCGAGTTAACGAATGGCTCGACACGAGGGAGCAGCGGAGCGGTTTCGATGAGCACGGTGGCTGTTGCAATGGCGTTGCTGCTGCTGCTTAGCTTCGAACATGGCGATGCTGCTACAACTTTTGTTGTTGGCGACTCGAACGGATGGAACATGGGCACGGAAGGATGGCCTAATGGGAAGGTGTTTAGAGCCGGTGACATATTAAGTGAGCTTTCAACTCTCGTTTTGATAGTTGAATAATTACTGATGTTTTACTTGAGTAATCGTATCTGTTAAGAATGATGCTTTGATACTATGTTAAGAATGAAAAACAAAAGTGGGATTGAAAGTCCAAGAAAAGAGAAAATATTCTACTAACCAAATCTTGAAGATAAGATAAATTATATCAAAACACAAGTTCCGCAGCATACTCATTTTATCGTTTTAAAGCCTTGATGGGAAGCCCGACAGGGAAAGCCCAAAGAGGATCTGGGTCGTTACATTAAGGCGGTATAAAATATATTCAAATAGTATCCGATCGAATTCACAGGTATAAAATATATTCAAATAGTATCCGATCGAATTCACAGGTATAAAATATATTCAAATAGTATCCGATCGAATTCGCAGGTATAAAATATATTCAAATAGTATCCGATCGAATTCGCAGGTATAAAATATATTCAAATAGTATCCAATCGAATTCGCAGGTATAAAATATATTCAAATAGTATCCGATCGAATTCGCAGTTAGATCGTTGATAATAAACTAAACGAATACATGCATTTTTTTTTTTTTTGTAGGATTCAACTATAACCCGACAGTTCACAACGGGGTGGCAGTGGACGAGGGGGGTTATAGAAGCTGCATAGCTCCAAGAGGCGCCAAAGTGTTCAATTCAGGCAAGGATGAAATCATGCTCTCAAGAGGACACAACTTCTTCATATGCACCACCCCCGGCCACTGCCAAGCTGGGATGAAAATTGCTATCAATTCCTTCTAGTTCTCGACCACCTTGTATCGTTTACACATCGATCTCGATGTAAATATTCTAAGTAACGATGATTTGGAAACATTGTGGAAATAAAATAATTGATAATAATTAAGTGTGGTTATATGTATCTTATTATTATTTTTTCTCTTTGTTTATTTATATCGAAAAAATTAGGATAATAATGTTAATGCACTAAATTGTTTTATTTTTATAAATTAATATAAACAAAAAATTAATATAAATTAAAACGGGTATGTTTCCTTAAATTATTTCGACATAATACCATATTTATTTAAACTATTATTTATAATAAAATAAGTTCAGTTTATTTAATGTGTATAAGTATTTAGTTTTTGATAGGAAAGGTTGAAATTTAAAATAAAAATATCATTTAATGATTTAAAATTAATTAATTTAAAGCTTATAATTAATAATAATTTGTTCATTAATTAGTATCGGTTTACCTTACACAAATATAAAAAGATAATTAATTATATAAACAAATATAAATATTATTTATTATGATTTATATAAATATAAATAATGAATTAATTAGGGGTATTGATTTATATAAACAATGAATTGATTATATTGTTTGTAATTTTTTTTTTTTTAGATTGTATTTGAAATTTTTTATAACTATTTAAATATATATTCCATACATTAACTATTGTGACTTAAGAAAATCATCAAATCTTAATATGGAATAACGTCATATTAAGAAATTTCATTATCTTACATCGTCATGTTGTCATGCATCGTCGTCATCATATAACATTATCATAGACCACTTACTTGGTTGGCCTTGGCCGATTTTTGCTAAATTCGAGTACGCTTGTCTTCCGTCCCTCGAAGTTGCTCCAAGTATCTCTGGGAGTCATTTCCTGTTACCTGTTATGAGGTCCATCTCATTTTGTTAGCATTTAGCATTTCTAATCTATTTAACTTGAATTTGAGAAATAGAGCAAACCTAGCATTTCTAATCTATTTAACTTGAATTTGGGAAAGAGAGCAAACCTCAGTTACCTTAATTTATTTTATTTTTGGAATATGACTAAAATTTTAAATGTTTATTTAAGAGAATATGACTAAAATTTTAAATGTTTATTTAAGAAAATGAAAATGCTCTTCGAAAACATCATTAAAAAAATGTTATGTTTTTTTAAAATCTTATTTGAATTTAAATACTTTCTCCAGAAAAATGGATTTTATGGTAAGAAATGATAAAAAAAGCTAACACAATTTTTAAAATTGAAAATTAAATAGTCATCAATTTATTTAATTATGTAAAAAATAATAATTAAAAAAAATAGCATAATTGAAAGGAAAGTCAAATTTATTCTATATTTGGAAAAAAAAATTAATTAAACTTACCTTTTTAAAATACATGGAAAAATTGGTTGAAAATAAACTTTTTTTTTTTTTAGTACTGAAAGAAGCGTATAGATTTTTAAATTATTTTCTTTTAATGAAATTTGATTAAAGGAGGTGGTGGTTACCCTTTAATGAAATTTAATTATTATTATTATTATTATTATTTTGTTAAATTTAAATTGATCCAAAATCAGCTTGATGGTAGAAAAGTCCCTGGAGCAGGGTGGAGACGAACAAATTTTTCCCATCTCCGTCGACCAACAGTAGTTGAGCCCGGTTTGTGAAGGGAGAGTAGCTGTTTCGAGTTTAAGATGACTTTTATGGTTTGACTTTAGAGTTTCATATTCTAAATTCTCTCTCTGCAGGATATGAAATTGATCGTGGTTGATTGGTATAGACTCGTTAGAGGACGATTTACTCTTTCAGGAAGGATTCGTGAACCAAGAGGGAGTATAGAAGGAGATTGAGCTTGGGAATGTAAGGTACGATTTTGGGGTTTTGAGGAACTTTAGTAGATAAATCTCCCTCAATTCTTGACCAAACTCGATGATTTGTTGCTCATTACGATAGAATTGAATAATACTGAAGGTTTGATGAAGAAACCAAAATCAAAAGTCTGCCATGTGAGAATTGATGATGGGAAAAGACACATCTACGTGAAGGTATGTCTAGATTACTATACTATATCTCTTTTTATGATATGTTTACACAAGTGGTATTTATGCTGTAATATAGAGATGATCAGGGGTTCATCAATAAACTCCTAATCGTGAACTTGCTGCGATTGTAGAGGGTCTGAAAATATTATAGAATTAGTTGTGATTTGTTTGTACTATATGGGAATACTTTCAATGCTTTAATTTCACCTTTGATTTAATTTCCCACAATTTCGGTAAAGATGACATCAAACCGATGCTTTAATTTCATATTCAAAATTAATTTCCATCGATCTCAGTTGACTTACAATCATATTAAATTCATTTATATGATCAGCAATAGATTCACCGTCACATATTTGTAAATTGAACAATCTCCGCATAAAATACACCTTGTTCATAGTCGACGTTTTTTGGTACATACTCAACAGTACCTTCAACAGATCTGATACTGTCTTCTCCTTGATGATGTTGAATGCCGCATTTTTTGATAGCGTCAACCGGATCAACCCTAAGGCCTGCCGATCCTTGAGCTTCTACCGCTCTGTGTTCATGGTATCCGAATTCACCTCCTATAGGGGTTCGTGAAGATCTTTCTGGTACAGATAATCTTCAATCTGCATCGTCCAAAAATCGAAATCGGATCCATCAAACTTCTCAATTCCAACATTTGAGAAGGCAGAAAGTACATTTTAAAAGCACTACTAAGATTGTATATATATGGTTCAGTTTACTATAACTTTATCATATATAATCATCCATAGCCTTTTATTATATATCGTTTTTCACTATATATGACCATTTGCATTATATGTCATTTACCACATATAGCTTTACTACGTAGAACCGTAGAATGAGCTATAAATAAGCAGCATGCTCCATAACCCAACACTTACATTATGGGGCCAACTACGGAGATGCCACCTAAACTCTACTAGAGAATATGAGAATAATGTCTATATAATAGTATGATGACAATTATGGGTTGAAAAGACATCAAGGTTGCATTTTCAGAGCCTCTAAGGTGATTTAAAAGTATCAATGAGGTGTTACGATCATGGTCAAAGTGTTATAGAAATTTTATGGAGATAGACTATAATACGAGACTTTCAGGATATGTCTTAAATTTAAGAATGATTTGGGTGAAGGATCGCCATAATTACAATGGTAGAATTTGTCTCTAAATCAACTAAAAGTTCCATGGCAATCTTCCGTATACCCTTACACCAATATATTTCATTGCTCAATCTAAATATTTTTTTTATTTAGAAAAATAACACATTTCAAGATGTTTCAAAGGTATTGTCGTAGTTAAGGTTCCAAGACCCTTTATTTGAAGTTGGATTTAGTATCCCAAATTCTATTACATGTAATGATATCCACTATGCCTCTGCAATACCAATTATCTGTACCCTCTTTCTACCATAGGAATGTTTTAAAATGAGTTTGTGAGGATATATACGTATTGATGGTGTTAATATAACACATGCGGAAGCAATTTGGATGTTAGGAACTTTTAGAACATCAATTATAGTAAATAACTAGCATGTTCATAAGTATTAAAACTTAATGAGTTTAGATACTAACCTTTTGTAGTTTAAACTTCTTTTTCCTCACGAATCGGTTTCGAACCACCACTAGTGTCTTCTCCACTATCCTCCGCCCTTAGAATGGGATTGTGGAATTCGGTGAGTGACTAAACTTGGGAGGAATTTTGTATATATGAAGAGAGTGTTGAGAGGTTTTTTCTCAAGGTTTTTCACCAAAAAGAAGAAGACCTTCCATGTACCATGATCACTCTATTTAAAGAGTCATCTTTGCATGTTCATGCAAATTTGAGATCACCAAATTTTGACACTTAAAATTCCACTCAAATGTTTGGGATGATGTGGCAAGCATGCATGTTTGAGTTAACCAAATTTTGACACTTAAAATTCCACTCAAATGTTTGGGATGATGTGGCAAGCATGCATGTTTGAGTTAACCAAATTTTGACACTCAAAATTCCACTCAAACTTGTGGGGTTTATTTGGCAATCATGCAAGTTTGGTTAAACCAAATTTTGACACCTCAAAATTTCTCTAACATGGATTTTTTCATTAAATGAAGTCGACATTTTGACTTTCTTCATTTTAATTCAACAATTAATTTGAATAATGAATTTCAAATTAAAGTAACATTAAAGGGTTAATTAAACTATTTAATTAATATTTAATATTAATTCAAATGTCAATCCCAATCAATTCCTACACATAGATTATTAAGATATTTAAATCTTATTTAAATATCTTAGATTCTCTCTTTTTGTTTATTTCGCAAATAAAACAAAAATGCGTTTAAATATATCGTATATATGTACTGCATATTCCCTAATTTGAATTCGAACACTTCGAACTCACTCGTCACACTGTTCTATGGTTTAGTCCGATATGAGCTAGCAGAGAGACCTAATGGACCTATAGATCATGGGCTCCAACGATCCAAGATTAGCCGGTTAAACTCATTAACCTTGTTAACCACATTCGTTAACTACTAGAACACTCCACTAAAGCCTAGTAGTTGCACTTCCCTCACTATAGATATATTTCTGTCCATTTGACATAACCATGATTAGTAAGTCGATCCTTCACAGGTTGTTCGTAACTAGAGCTGGGTCAATTTACCGTTTTACCCCTAAAGTTACTTCTTGTTCCTTATGTCTCACTGATCCTCTAATGAACAATTGGTTTGTGGTCCAACCAGTAAACCGAATCCCTCTCAGGCCAATGAGAGGGTGGGTCCCCTTGTTCAAGACCTGGAGTCAGTGCTTAAGGGAACTACCTCTCTTCTATCCCCTAAAAGTGGGTAGGAGCGAATTCCATCTTGCACCCCACGTCCCCAGCCATTCACCTAGTCTTATCCCTGAAATGGGAGGCCTATTGAGTCAGCGAATTAGAGTCACTCTCACCCATGCAAATCTAAGGATAATTTCGAATAAACAGGAGT